TTACTATGGAAAGTAGATCCCGTACATAAATCTGAACCAAAAGTTCATCTCTCCCGAAGCGTTCTTTAAGTTGTGCAATCACCTTTGAATAGTTTTCTTTAGTTGGCGGAAAAACTTGTTACCAGTCTTGATGCTTTAGAATCTGCTACCACCACCGCATTGTAACAGATATTGAAATTTGTCGTCATCCACAATAGAATCATCTTGTGAATTTTTTCAAACTGGGACCAAAAAGCAAGAAAGTCTTTCGGTTCTCTACTAAATTTCCTCAATTCCTAAGTTTAGGAAGCTTGAATTTCCTTTTTTGCTCGGTTGTTGTTCCTTCCGTAACCGTAAACCGAATTTCCCTTCTTTGCATTTTCCTAACAGCGAACAAAATCAAGCAGAACTTGTCTCGGTATTCTTCTGCTTTCAAAAAAAATCTTCGGAATATTCGTCTTGAAGGGTGGCCATCATCACGTAGCAAACAAATTCGAAACTTCTTTCTTGAGTTTCTTCCAAGCGTGTGAATTTGTCCTGAATAGCCTGTTTAAACAACGTACTGACTTCGTCACTTTTTAAACTTTTGTTTTCGGTCTTCTGAGCTATATCGTTGCAGCATACCGTAAACGCTGTTCTCAGCAACTTTCGTTTTGCTTTCAAGACTTTTATATCCGTATTTCATCAAAAATATAAAGTAGAGATTCGAATCAGAAGATTGCAGTTTCGAAACCTGTCGCAGACGCCAGATTTACTATGTTGCAACTCTCAGGGCTACAACGTGCAGGTTACAAATTAAATAATCACAGCAGGGATTATTAATATAAAGATTTAATATGGATATCTCACACAAGCTGAAAACGTTACATTACTCTATCAAGTGCATACATATAACTGAGTGAAAAGGGAATTTCCCCGCTTAATTCGCAGTTAAAGAGAAAAAAATAAGAATAAGAAAAAATAGTCCAATCAAATGCGGAGCTCTTCTGTCGACCTTCGCCGAGCCGTTATGTAATCGTCTGTCTGCAGCCGCCGTCTCCAACAGTGTTGTTGTATATTACGTTCATAAAGCATATCAACTGCTGAATTAGCATAGCTGTTTATGTTATCTAACTTATCCCTATATCAAGCTTTCAGCAATTAGAATCCTAGATGTATGGCTAAACGATTAGTCGCAACAAAGTGTAATTAAAAAAAAAAAAAAACCTGTCTAGCTGTCAAAAAAATATTTCTTGGAAACATTACATGGACTGAAATTATCCAGACGTCAGAACATTATGAAATGTTCACAGATTTCGTTCACAGTTCCGTCATTTCCTATATTTGTAACACGGCAGACTTCCCACATAACTCTTATTCCGAATCTCAAGTTTGTTGAATTATGCATTGCCATGGCAGCTTTGATCCTTTGACTAAGATGCTGGAAGTTATGAATAATTTTGTCGTTCAAAGTATACTTTTAATACTCCCTTAGGAAAAGTCCATTGGGTTACGTAACTGTTCTAATAGTGCTGGGCAAGACTGGAGCTTCTGTTAAGTTACGTCATTGACCTTTATTTTTTGGCCAAGCCTTTGTAGATTTGTAATAATCTATAAAAGATCAACTGCAAAATATTTTATTTGCATCCATTATTGCCTGCCTCCAAAATAAAATCCATTTGTTGCAATGAAGCAACATATAGATCATATGCTTTAGTATATACAGATAGTTTCAACAATTCGATTACAAATTTGAGTAGAGATAAAGTACACTTGTATGAAGGAAAATCCCATAGCAATGCATGATCGGAAACGCTTTCCTGGTGCAGTAGTGACAATGCAAAACACAAGAAAAGATGGACTTCAACAGGGTGAGATAAAATATTTATTATGCTTAGTGCAGCAAAAACCAAGAAATGAAAACTAAACCGACAACAAAGAAATAATTAAATTTTACGACATCGAAACTACAATCACGGCCTGTGATGTAAACCTCACATCTCCAGCGAACGGAAGATGATGTTCTGGAAAGTACCTGACGTGCCCCGGACTTCGCCAACAGCTTCCACGATATGTGAAACAAGTTCCTGAGCACTATTAACGCGAGGTTATTATACCAGTGCCTTGACGTACTCCCAAATAAAGCAGTCAATGCAAGTGAGGTGTAGCGATCTTGCTGGCCAGTACACCAGACCACTCCTGCCGATTCAATGTTAAGGATAGGTTGCATTCAAGTGGAGACGCACATCGAGGCTGTTAATTTATGCAAAAATTTAACATTCTCAACATTTTAGCTGCGCGGAGCATAATAAAGACGTTTTCTCTCATGTGAATAGCATACATATATGTACTGTTCAAAATAACTGGAGTACCTAAAACATTGTAAAGCTGTCTTTTATGATGTAGGAAACTTCCATGCATACTAAACTGCTTAAATTCTTCTTGGAATGGAGGCATACAAATTCTGAAGTTATAATACATGTTTTATACATCCTTTCATGAAAAACTGTTTCAACTTCATGAGAAACGCTTCAAGGAAAACAGGATCTCAGTCTGTACTTCACCTCAGACTACATTATTCAATAATATTTAAGTCAATTTGCAGCTCAGAGAAGTTGGATAACTTCATTTTCATAGCCTTCAAGCCATCATTACACAATATGACTTCAGAGAATGGGAACATTATTGCCTTGAAAGATGCAGTTATCGGTAGTAAGCTGTCTGCACCATTTCAATGGATAGAATCTCTTTAAACAGACATAGAGCAATGGAGTCACGGCCATTTATTCTTCCTTCTAAAACAATAACTGGATTTGTTTCAAGCCCTGATATGACAGCTGAAAACACAATTGAATCATAACTGCGTTTTACTGTAGAAAACGAAGATTTTGGACCGTTAGCGTTAGCGTTACATACACATAAATCTATCCTGAAGTGAGAAATAAATTCATTAGAAAAATTCCTTTGATCAGCATTTCAAGTTTTACTTTCCTGAAAACACTGTAGTGTATATATTTTCAATATTATAAATCAAAAACAATTTTATATCATTTCCTGCACACAAATTCAAAATTATTTCTTTTAAATTTTTTATTCATTTCGTTCTCAAAATAAATAAAAAATTCCTAAAATTCAAATTATTAAACAATAAGTTCATTTCTAAAATAATTCCAGAATTTTTAATTTTGAGTCAAAGGATTTTTCTAACAATGATTCAAGAATACATTAGTCATATTAATGTTTTAATAACTTTTCCTAAATAAAATAATTACGAATCATAAAATTCGTAGCTTAATTTTATTAAATATAATTATGAAAAATTAAATCTTTCGACACTATAAAATTTTAATCAGTTTCATAAAATAATGCTTTATTTTTAAAATCCAATTATAATAAGAACTGTATGTTAAAATTTCAAAATAATAATAATGATTAGCAAATGCTATACAATTATAAACATTTCTAGATGCATCAATTAAAACTTTATTTATAAAACATCTGATGTAAAATTTTTAAATCCGTTTATTATTTTAGCACTATTTGAGATTTGTTTCACTGAAGTTACTATAATTTACCACATTATGATGGAAAGAAGAAAATTATCAAGTTATATTATGGATAAATATCCGTTGGATTTAGTAAACAGAAATTGGACAGATAATTGATTGAAACAGAAATCTAAACACCAGAAAATTGATAAAACAGCCCCTACAGTAACGAATAATTGAAATTACAGAATTAAAACCATAAATAAACTTAAAAGTTTAAAAAAAATCTAAAATAATTTTGAGTAGACCGAGTCTAATAAACAAATCCATAGAAATACAAGTAATTTTTCACATGAAAAATTGAGACAAAAACCTAGAAAAACATAGAAAATAGAAGAGTTAGTTCTCAAACTTACAATAGTGAAGAAACAATTGTCTTGAAAATTAATTAATTCGACATGACTAGTAGGATAAGAATTGTGTAAACTCTAATGTATGCTAAATAATTAAATTAATATCAAATTTTGAACTTATTAACAACTGATTTTGAACTGATTAAACTTTTAACGCAGCATTAAACATTGTGTTGTAAAAAATGAATAAAATACAAAAGGAAAAAAAAACATGATGTATCTGGCTTAAAAATCCGAAAAGCAGCCACAATGCCAACCACCTGCATCCCACCAGAAAATTAAGTTCCACTACAGTACAGTTCGGTCCAGTTCAATGAACGAAAAAGTTGAAGTGCTTAATGTCAAAATTAATTTATTTTCTAATTTCATAAAAAGTGCTAGTGTTTATATAATTTTGAAGAAATTTATAAAATATTAGAGATAAAAAGATAAATTCATAAATAACGCGTGGTATTAAAAATGCGTGATATAAAAATGATATATGATCTAGAAAGGGCTGCGACTAGTAACTGTGACCAAATATTATTGGACGTGAACAATCTTAGAGTCAGTAGCTTAGATTAACGTTACAGATTACAGGTAACATAAAAGAGAGAAAAGGTTGAAAACAAAATAAATTACCGAATATTGCAGAATATAAAACACACTCAAGAGAGCTTCTTTGAGACTTAGAAGCTGAAATAGTCCCAATTTGCGAGTAAAAGAAATAGATAATTTAAGAGTCTATTCAGAATTAGAACTAGTGCAGGAATTTTTACAGGAATGCCTAATTCAACTATGTTTAGAACCTCCAGACAACACTGACATAATGTTTTAGGTGTAACCTATCATGAAAAACTGCAGTTTAGTGGTGAAAATAATTTTTAGATTAACAACTCTAGTTTAGCTAGTTGTTTCTGATGAATTTATGTGGAATTACACCATGTTTTAGTATTTCAATTAATAAACTAAGCTCTTTCGTAAAGTCATTACTGTTATTACAAATGTTTTTATTCTTTTGGCTTGATCAATCACAATGTTAGGAATAATTTTTTTGGAGATGTTGAATTTCTAAATAATTAGTTTAACAGGTTTGAAACTGAAAAGTCTTCTTTTCTCAAATAAAATAATATTGCTGTGTTTGTAATTGTAGGCCTAAATAATGGGTGTCATCTTTGTAAGTTTTATTGAGTTTAAAGCATTTATGATAGATGCCTTGTTTTTTAAATTTCATTGCAATTAATAATGGCAGTGAGTTCATTTATGTAGTACAAATCCATGTAAGTAAAGATGAACTGTTCTAATTTATCGAAATTATTAATAAAATTACATTCATTAACGAAGAGAAAAAAGTTACAGATGGCAGTTGAATAGTTAGTGCCCTTATGAATACCGTTAATTTGCAGAATTATTTTATTTTAATACTTCATAAATTGAGAAAAGTGTTATTTTAGATCAAAGTTCCAATTATTTAAATGAATCATATCTTTAATGATAGAAAAATCGAACGTAAAGCTCTAATAAACTATTGTAAATTTCATTAAGTGACAAGGTGATGTACAAGTTATCAGAATCATAGCAGTTAGTATTGCAAATTCATTGTTTGTTAACGGTTTTAATAACTTTTTGATAATTCGTTATCAAAAATCCATTTCTTATGTAATTCAGTATTAGATTGTTTCTGTACCTCAATATAAATTTTTTGAGAATTTTGGTGAAATTAATATCAATCACGTTTTTGCATTTGGATTTTTATGAAATTCTGATTGTGCATACAAACTGGTGAATTTATGATAGTAAGGCTTACTCGTAATTTTAAGTTTGTTGTGAAATGCTCTAAATCTATTAATAAGTGTGTTTCCTTGTTGTTTAGAGATCTGGGAAGTAATTTTATTATTTAGTTCATTTTTAATAATTTTTTATAGAATTGTTTACAAATAATACTGAAACTGTTGTTAGCTTTCTCAATAGGGGTAATAATAAATTGTATTTTAAGCCCTTCTATATTTTTTAAGGTCCTTGTAGTTAAAATTGATGCTACTTTTATGATTGAATTGAAATTTATTGATATTCTTAATGCCTCTGTAAAAATGATGTTTACGTTGTTCAGAAGAACTGAATGGATGGCTGTAATTGTAGCTGGAGGTAATAATGACTTGGTCAAGGTTTTATGTAATCTTTTTAAGACATATGCGTTTTCTAGAATTGTAGTTAATTCTGAACTTGATGCCTAATTTTATGAAATCTTTAAGCTTTTTGTTTTCGATAACGTTAAGATCTCCGGTAAAAATGTGTTTGGGATGTTGGTCAACGTAATTCTCAAAGCAGCATTCAGAGCAGAAGCAAGGTGGGTTAATAGCTGAATCCCCGTTATAGTTGGTGACGATACTACTTAATTTTTTATTGCACTTGAAGCGAATTTGATGTTTGTGTCACCAATTGGAAAATATTTTTGGTATTTTTTTAGTATTTTACTAAATTCAATAAAGTTAGGATACATAAAATCAATTTAACAACGGTTAATATTTTCAGCTTCAGATTTACGGCTTCGCTATCGAATGAGATCTTTAGCCAGGTGAGGTATTGTTTCAAAAAGTTATAATAAGAGGTACTGTTATTTAAAAAATTGCCAAGTACGAGTAATTCCTAGTTTCTCAATGTGAAGGTAATTTTTTTCAGTTTCTTCAAATTCTTGCTTTAAGTAATTAATAATTTACTGTGTATAAGTCAGATGATGATGCATAAACCTTTGCACCTTTTTTCCACTGCTTCAGAGCAAAACAAATCCCTGTTCTTGAATTGTTGCTAGTTACATAAGTACCTTTCTGAAAGGGTTAAACTGAGTTTCATGTCACAAATTCTGATATTATCGTTAGCTGAAGCATTATGCAGCTTTACATCAGAATAATAAGAGGATGATTAATTTTGAAATGAAATCGTGTTGAAAACATTTATTATGAGTAGTTAGTATTTCTAGGATGAAAAAGAAAAACTGTAGAGATATTCGGTTTCTTCGAAGCAGGAAAGATGAAAAATGAGCAATGCCCTCGCCGGGACTCGAACCACGGACCTTTCGAATATGAGCCGAGCGTGCTAACCACTACACCACGAAGGCATACTAAGAAGGCGGGAGAAATACCTTATATACTTCCCCTTTTAAAGGGCGACTGCAGATTAGGAGATCCAATCGCCAAATTCTGGTGGTGAAGAATCATCATTCACCACATTTTGTTTTTTAGTTCGGGCGCCACTTGTAAGATCTGTCTCTTCTATTCCATATAAACCAAATTAGATCCTACAATGAACCTGGCGAATTCTAGCAGACGTGTGAATGAAATACCAGGACATAAGAAGAGTGAAAACCTTTATTAATTCAACTCAGAAAAGAAAGGCTCAGACTTCGTGCTTTACAATAACACCGATCACGTGTGGTGAAACTTAAACGTAGAATATAAATAAATTCACATCGAAAATAGAATAGCACTGGATTAGCACGTTAAGTTACGTTTAACTTAGGTTGACTCAACAAAACCTAGCAGGCGTGACGATAATCCGAAATGGCCAAGGGTGTACTAGCGTAACAGTGAGATAGCAATGAAACGTGCGCTGGGTAGCAAAAACACGCTCTGAATAAACTCAGAGATTCACTCGTTTAAATACTCACTTCACTTAAATTTAAATTTACATCCTGGCGAGGAAATGCGAGGGGAACTTGAGGAGTTCAGGAAAGGTATCAAACTTAAAATAATTTTTTATGTAAAATAAGAGAAACCCTACAAAATAACCAAATTAAAAAGGAGATGGGTTGCTGCTAGTTAAAATGAATATTTTAGCTATTTTTTATCTTATATATGTATGGGATTATCATTTACTTAAGTCAATTTCATATATTACCAGTTGTAATGTTTATTTCACATTTTATCATCTTTTCATTCCATCTTAGTGAATTCATAAATAAATTAGATTAGTTTATACTTATCTCGCGCCAGTGGCGTAGCGGGGAGGGCAAGGGGGTGTATGATGCCCCGGGCGTTGCTCGCAGAAGAGCGCCAAATGGTCTCCAAACAAGATTTTCATCATATTACTGTATTTATTTTTTCGGGGGGAGGGGCGCCAAAAAGGTATTTTGCCCCGGGCGCCAGTTATGTTCGCTACTCTACTGGCTCGTGCTTTATCTTTGTATAACTCTGCATACATATATATTACAATATATTTCACATATTATTTTCTATTTTATATTGCATATTCAAATTTAATTTTATTAGAATGATAGTAAATGTTTTAAGTATTTTAGTGTTCCTCTGTTTGTAGTGTTTCACGTTCAAAACCGAAATGGAGCAATGAACCCCAAAACTTTAAAAATTGAAATTCTTTTCGAGTTGGGTTATAATGTAATTCGACAGCAAACGTTTATCTTATGATCTGGACAAGAGTTAATATTACTTTTTTAAGAAGAGACTAGAAAAATTTGCATGCTTTGCAATATATGCCCGTTTTCTCAGTTTATGTGCTACACGTCTTTACTTGGCTATGCGGCCCAGGAGCTGCGAGTAATTGGGCATAGCTCTTCTAACAATAAGGATAAACTTACGCAGGTAAAAAAATTAGAACTGCTAAAATTTATGCTAATAATATAAATTTTTTTTATTATATTTGAGTTTGTTTGTCTTGTTTCAGAAGTATTGGTAATGCCATCTACAGTAGAAGAAAGTCATACTTTAAGGAAAATTAAAAGGTTCTATAATTTCTGCATGAATGCAGGTATGTTTTTCTGCTTAGTTGCTTTTGATCTGAGAATTGTGAAACATTTTTGGAAATTTAGTTATAAATTTGTTTATTATGAGATGAAGCGATCGAAGAAAGCCAATAGACCATTTTTTTGTCTCTTTTAGCATCTGTTTTAATATAACTGATGCAGTAATCAAAATTTTAAAACTGAATTCATGATAATGATATTAAAATAATTTTCATTCAAATGCATCGTTTAGATTGAGATCACTGTACATAGAAGTCCAGAGATATTACAGCGTAGTGCGTTCTCATGTGTTTCAGCGTTTTCAAATCTGTAGAATTAAAATCTTCCAATGTCTGAGTGTATGATACCGTTTAATACTGGTAATTCAATCCGTAAATCTTAGAGAACAACTGGGTGTTATCATGTACGGAGTTTAACACAGGGTGTGTTGTATTTTTAAATTTAACATAAACGATTAAGAGGAACTGTGCTCAACTCAAAGCAAACGATGCAAACGGGATGTGAAACTATTTTGCATTGTTATGATAAAAACTTTATTTTTAATAAAGACTTCTTTTCAGAACAACGTGATCGTCAACAAAATTATTCCTTGGCAGTGTGGTTCTCTGACATCGAACTGTCGGTGAATAACATTGCAGGAGCCATCTTGGGAATGGAAACCAGCAGCGTTTCATGGCAGCAACTCGTATCTAGGTTGGAAGAGTATCAGATTCATACGATTTTTGAGCCCTCGTTTGAACGTCCGGATGACTTGCCCATCGACAAAATAGTAAGGAACGTTTTTTTTCCTTGGAAATCGATATCCAGTTTTCCAAGATTTAGCGTACAATTTTTTTGAAACTTTTAATTACCAGGAATATGCATAATTTTGCTGTATTTCCAGGAATACAGTTAAAGAAATTATTTCTCTGAGTGATCAAAATGCTTTCAACTTATTCTTCAATGTAATGTAAACAAACTTAAATAACAATTACGCCCAAAGAAGAAGAATGAAGTAAGTATTTGAAGTTTGTAGCTGTGCGGAAGGAACAAAAAGTGATGTGTTTTCATATCATTGAGCAAAATTGATCCTACAGCAAAACAAAACGAAATTGGTTGAAGTTGTCCACCTGTGATATCATTCATACAGTTTTAAGTCAGTTTATTGAGACACCTATAGGTATTAGCCCCAAAGACGATGAGATTTAAGCGTTAGTTTTGCTACTTTATGTTACCAAAAATTAACATTGGTTACAAGAGTTTGATTATAATTTTACTTACCGAACACAACAACAAGAGTTTGATTATAATTTTACTTACCGAAAATTACTTATGTAACAAACAGCAAAAATTAAAAACAAGAAGAAATTTGGCATTTAGCTTCAAATTTGGGGTTTCAGAAAGACTGCAATAATTATATGTAGTGCATATTTCTATTAGGGCAAAAATATAATATGCACATCCTTTCCAACGAAAGGAGGAACATTATTAAGGGCCATAACTTCTAACGCAAGAATAAATATTATTTAAGGGAACACAATTTCTTATCGTGAGAATGAGTATCGTTTATATTAAACTTTTGAAAAATTTTGAAAGGTTAAAAACTATTTGTTCCAACTCAATGATTTTGCGTTTTGCACTTTTCATCTTATTCTTTATTATTATTATTATTTTATTGTTTAAGTATTTAGATAAATTTTTAAATTTTATTTTTCTCACGCAACGCTCTCCGAAAGGTGTTGTAGTTGGAAAAGACTTATTACGTATGCGTTTTGGCTCGAATTCAAATTCTGCTCAGAGTGTAGGATATTTGTAATTGTAGCGTCCTACTAAATGGCAGCATTTGAAAATCAATCCGAAAGTCCTGCCGTCACGTTTATTTTAAGGGACTGGGAATAAGGACTTAACTTCCACCCTGTAGGTTCTATCGATAACCCTGACTTCTGTACCTCTGAGTGAACGTTTACTGAACTGTGATACCTGTCAAAGCCAATCGCATCGAACTAGTTCGCATGGGCTAATTATATCGTCACAAACAAGAAAGAACAAAGGTATATTCCCAATATTATTAAGAACTTATGCATCGCAAAACTACAGAACCGTATGTCTATTTGATATAATCATGTACAGGATTATATCGCTTTTTTTAAGACTGAAGTAACCGTAGTCATCATCTACTTAACTTGTATACACTAATTCGTATATTTTCCCAGTTTTTTGTAAAACTGTGTTTAACTTGTATGATTAACGTCGCAAATATTGCAACTGTAATGCGTATGAAATTCCTAGCTCTTTTGTATGAACATTTTCACCATAACTGTAATACGTTATGTGGCGACTGACGGATTGGACATAGTGTCAGGGACTAAGAAGAGTGAGACGACGCGAATGAACTTTCGGTCTCATTTTACGACGCTTGAAGTATAATTTTATACATGACTCTTCTGTGAATATTTTTATATTTATTGAAATGGTAAGTCGGTGTATTATTAGCATTTTATTAACAGTGAACTAATGGATACACTTCATGAATATCATATACTATACACTTATATATGAATTATAGTCTTGTTCTTAGTGTCTATTAATACTTCTACTCAGCAGCCGAAAACTGTGTTGTTTGTTATTACTTGCTGTTGTTCTGTTACGTAAGTGATGTGTGTTTATTAAAATATGCTTGCTTGTTTGTGGACTATAACTTATCAATAAGTTATCCTCTATTTAACTTGTGTATATTGAATCTTACCGTCTTTCATGTTGATTATGAAAAAACATGTTTTATTTCAAAAATTAAAGTTGTACTATATACTTGTTTTATCGTATTGCTATCATTTTGTTTTCAGCTATTAACAATTAATTAATCCGTTTTCTGTAATTTAAAGCTGAAAACATTGTAATCCTGTCTGACAATTAGCCAACACATGACTCTCATTATATGAGAGCTCGTCAATAGCTGCTGTATAATTTTCATCGCGGCATTCAGTAGTATTTTCGCATGAGTCGCTTGTTATTACTGGTACAGTACCAAAAAGGATACATGTGATTATTAGGGCTATCTGTACAACGAAGGATGACTTTAAAATGGACTCATAGTTTAAAATGGACTCACTGTAGTGAAATCTACGCAAACATCTATACGAACAACTCGTTCGCCAAGACTAGAATACGAATCAAACTACAAATGTTCAGTGGCCTTATTCAGCCATTGTAGAGATGGCGTCAAAAGGCGTTCATTTTTCTTATCTTACTGCTGGCTTCTCGTTCATCATTTGCATTTCTACACTGAAGAAGAAGGTTCTATATATAAACCTTCGAAACTAGTCCTGCAAATGCTTGAACATTACGCTGATCCTAGTTGCTTTAACTCCTCCGATAGTTTGCTGGGTGCATTTGTCAAAAATTGAAGATTCTGCTTTAAACTGGAAAATTAATTTATTCTATTTTTTGTTTTCTATTAAATGTAAAACATCTCAACCGCATAACTCTTGTTGGAAAGCTTAGACAATTTCTTAGATTTCATATTTTCAGTTTTTGTGAAACTCTTACGCATTTCTGTTAATTAATTATTTCTTTTAGGTTGTGGATTGTCCAGTTCCTTTTTTCGAACCAGAAGTGTATTTGAATGTTAACGCAAGTGATTATTCTTATCAGTTAACAATATACAAAGAAGTAATGGATAAAGCCTTAGAGCTTTTGTTCATCGATAAATCTAGAAGGCTCGAATTTATGAAGGATATTTTATCGATTGAAGAAGATATCGCAAGTGCTGCTGTGGTAAATATAGAATTAGCTGTCATCAGTTTTTGTTTATTCCTATCTGTTACTTAAAATTATTAATTAAAATTTGCAGCGCTTTTATTTTTTTACACCAACGCCAATCGAGTAATATAATGTATCAAATAAATAAAAGTAATAGATATTAGAAATTTACTTAAAATATATTCAGTAATTGGTAAATGCAAATATTATTTTTATGTATAAATTTTAAGCTTAAAGTGCCACGAACATGATATTTAAGTGCTACGAACATGATATTTAATAAATAAAGGTAACACACAAAACGTTAAAAAACACCTCTTTAGGCGTAATGTGAAATCTGAAAGCTTTCAGATTCCCCCCTTTTTAAATCGTTTAGTTTGTTAATTAGTAGAAGACAAATTAAACTTGGAAATTAAATATTATACGCTCAGCAGAATGGCAAGACACTGCCGGAAGATAAAGCTATTTTATGTCTGGCAGTGGCAACGCATTGTTTATAAATCGCCGAGTTCGTTATTTAAAAAAAAAAAAAAAAAAAACCTGTAAATTTGTGGACAATTTCTTTAATATTAAGTAATGAAAAACCTGTGTTATGTATGTATGGTTGTTTATTTGTTTTCCACATCGTGGAAAAACGGCGCACATATTAGCACTAAATTTTAAGCATACATAGTTCTTCTTCTGAACATGTGCACCTCGAAGTCAAAATTTTAAATTTCGATATTTTATTTTTATTTTTTATTTCATGCGAACTTAATTGATTGATTAAGAAACTCATCAATTTAAAAGCAATGTGTTGCCAATCAACAAAGCTTAAGTTATTTGCCGTTCAAATGTAATCAACAAACTCAGTGACTTAAAAGAAATACGTTGCCCTTCTGTAAAGCTTAAGATGTTAAATTTTTTTCCAAGATTTAATTTGTCTGTGAATTTTTTAACAAGATAAGTGGTCCAAGGGTTCTTCATCTCTTTTGTTATTAATCACTAGCTGCACCAGTGAATGGACTCATTAAAATCATCACATAATTTTCTTTATTGTAAAATTTATATTAAACTCCTAAATGCTTAAGCGTCTAGAAAAATAAATAAAAAACAAATTCTGAATTTCTAATTCGGACTGCGGGGATATACATATATTCGGGAAGAGGACAATGTCTGTTCAAATTCTGGTAGTTCTAGGAGGTCACCGTGTTTTCATAATGCATTCTCACATATATACGGAGTTTTCACAATTCATGAATGGAGTAAACTTCATGAAATCGAGCTATTCTTTTTAAATATCTCTGCTTATTACTAACAATAATAAGTTTTCTTATAGTTCATAAATATTTCACAGTGAGAACATATACCTATAACTCTCAGGGCAACGTTTTACAGATCAGCAAATCTCGAATTCGGGAAAAAATCAGTCCCCTGTCATTCAGCCACTAGTTGAAAGTTCTAAGAAATGGAATAAGGGCATGTGAAAAGAATGCCTTTAATTCTTTTATTACTTGAATTTTATTTCGATTAAATTATTCCATAATACAAATTAAGAAATTAAATTACTAATTAATAGCAAATCATGATGTTGAATAGTTTCATGAAATCGGTCTATTCTTGTGTGCAAAATGCAATTGCGTTTTAAAAATAAAATTATTGCTTGTTGCCGGAGAATCGCATTTAAGGGGCAAGATCGTCATGCGGTTCGCAAGATCCAGTTAAAGAGCCTTCAGAGTCTCATGCGGCTAGCGAACTGCAGTTTGGCCATGCCTGAAAAGTATAGCATTGTTCTAACACGCGTGTTAACAAGTGTCTCTTGAGTTTAGAAAATTGAAAACTTCTGAAATGACATGCTGATTTTTATCTATTGTTTGATTCTATGCCTTAAATTATGCCTACACAAGAAATCTTGCGAGACGAGTAATTTCACATTTATTTAAATTTGAAATCTGGCTATAACTTTCAATTTGTTGACAAAAAATAATTTTATTTCGTAAACTTCTAATTATGTTGATTTTTGACCTTTTTTTTAAAAAAATCTTCAATGAATAACCACGTGATGCTTGTTGGCCCAAAGGGCATTAGCCCAGAAGAGCTATTAATTTCGTTTTGGCATTTTGCGTTGGTTCACTATAAATGTCGGTTCACTTTTCAGATTGTTGCCACCAAATATTAGACTCCTGCATTATATTTAAAGAAATTAAATAATGAAGAATCTGCATAAATGTATGCATGTTTCTCGCACTGGGATAAAAAAACAGTACCTAGAGCCATCGAGTTTTGAATAACGTAATCTTTCACCAAGTATGGGCATCTGGAAGCCCTAATTTGGAATTTGGAATTCGTTTTATTATCGATTTCATACTTTGTAACACTTTGACGAATTTTTATTAACAAACTCAAAGGTTTTAAAGCGAGCAATGGCAACACTGTAGGAAAATACGCGCGAGACTGCGTATCGGAAATTCTAAAGATATACTCATTTTAAAGTAACTTTCCGATGTTACTCTTGAACTGAATTTTATAGTTTAAGTGTAAAGAATATGATATTTGATGAATAAAGGTAACACACAAAACGTTAAAGAAACGCCCCTTTCGGCGTAATGTAAAATCTGAAAGCTTTCAGTTTTTTTAAGTCATTTTAAAATTTAATTGATTTTGTAAATAAAATTTGATATTTAATAACGTCTCGTATATCAAAAATGAGGAATCTGAATACCTGATAGAAAGGTGTGTCAGTAGAGGGTAATCGTGAAACAATATTAAGTTCAATTAGCTTTTAAACAATGCGAACACCTATAATAATTCATCAAGCATTTTCTTTAATATTTATCATTTAAAATTTTCCTGAGTTAATAATTAGGAACTTGAATATTGGAAATAGCTTCTGATAACTGAGGCACAGCTCTTGGGCTGTTCCATATGCTGTCATTTGAGCATCGCCCTAAAGCGCGAAAGTAGCAGGAACATGAAGAAATCTCCAGAGTCATAATTTTTTTGAAGATTAATTGATTAATCTGCGAATTTCCGCTTATTGACTGTCTCAGGAAGGAAATAACATAAAGATCTATTCTAATCTTGTCATGTTTACACACTTTGCTTTAAATTTTCTCTTTTATGCACATTGATGTCAAATGTGACTTTCAAGACATATTACAAGGAGGAGGATGGCAGGAACTCCTGCCATAATAAGAAGAAAGATATAAGAAATAATAATAAGAAAGTCTAAATTTGTAAATTTTAAAAAAAGTCTACATAAAACGAAAACCGACCGGGAATATACATCTTATGGCGATCATCTTCATAAGATGATGTTTATTTATGAACAGACATACATTTGAGAAAATAATTAAAAAATTATGTGATTTGAAAACTAGTAGTAGAAGTTTTGAAGTGCTGGTGTCCGATGAAAACATCGCGGACGGAAACATCTCGGAGAAAAACTACGCTAGGCGAAAACGTCGTGGGAGAAAAGAAAGCAAAGAGAAAACATCACAGTTCTAAAACATCGTAGTACAAAATATCGTGGTCGAAAATAAAGCGGTTCAAAAACTTCGCATTTTAAAAACATCGTCGCCGAAAATATAGTGGTAAAAAATAAAGAACTTACAAATCATCGCATGACGATAACATCGCATACATGAGTTTTCAAATTTTAAAAGTTGCAATTGGATATTCGCATAACGATTTGCTGGCACAAAAAGCAAAGAGGGATATTTTTATTTCTATACTTCATATCTTTGAATGAACTAATAGATTTTTGGTGAAAAAGTAGGAAGATAATTTAAGTACTGAAAAATTGAAAATGAGTTAAAAATTATGCAACTTATAACACTTAATAAAATATTAAATTTACATAGTTAATTAACCTCATGCAGTTATGTATCTTCCTTTTTCGAAACATTTTTAGACTGTATTTTTCATGAAAAATTATCAGTAAAACTTTATAAAAAAGATCAGTTTATTAATCATATTTCTTAAGTACTATGTGAATTTAAAATTCCATCAAGTGCTTTAAGTTGCATAAATTTTCTACTCAATTTCAGTTTTTAAATGTTTAAGTTTCCTTCTTACGTTTCAGCAAAAATCTATTAGTTCATTCAAAAATATAGCTCTCTTTTCTTCTTGCGCTCCCAAATCACTTTGCGAATATGTAGTTACAACTTTTAAAACCTGAAAATGCATGTGTGCGATGTTATCGTCATGTCGCATGTGTGCGATGTTATCGTCATGTCGCATGTGTGCGATGCGATGATTTGTAGATACTTAATTTTTTATCACGATGTTTTCGGCGACGATGTTTTTAAAATGCGAAGTTTTTGAACTCCTTTATTTTCGACCACGATATTTTGTGCAACGATGTTTTCTGTTTGTTTTCATTTCTCCCACGATGTTTTGTGCCACAACGTTTTCGCCTTGAGTTGTTTTCTCCGCGACATTTTCATCCGCGATGTTTTTGCCGAAATGTTCTCGGCTGTAACCGAAATGCTAGACTACAGTTTCTTGTCTAAGATTTTAAAAAAGAGTTTTTCGTTAAAAGGTTTTAAAAGTGTACAAAATCATATAAACACTTCGATTATATTTTAAAATAGAAACAGCATTTTATATTATAAAAATATCACTTAATTTACCTCTCCCTCCATGCTTTCTGCCTATTTGGTGAGCGACACTTTATTTGTTAGCAAGCAAGCAAAATAAAAATCCACATGTAGAGAGATATTGGAATTTTTTTTTTTTTAGCAAGAGAGATGAAAAATTAGTCAGGAATCGAAACACGAACCTCTGAAATACCGGCTCAGTGTGCTGACCACGAAGGCACGCTAGGAAGGCGAAAGAAATATCTTACATACTCCCCCCTTTAAAGGGCGACTTGAGTTTTTAGGCGACCCAATCGCCAAATCCTGGGTGAGGAGAAATCAACATCCACCACCCTTTTAGTTCGGGCGCTATTGTAGAGACATTAGGAGTTTTTTTGGGGGGGGGAGCAAGAGAGATAAAAAATTAGCAAGCGCCTTCGCCGGGAATCGAACCAC